AAGGACCAGGCTCTCCCAGCTGGTGCAGCGTGTTTGCTGTGGGGCATTGCCTCCCCACTCTACAGAGCAGGTGATTTCCTGCCGGGATGAGCGATGCTGGGACAGGAGCTGGACACGGAGGGACCTGGGCACAGGGCTCCAGGATAATGCACAGGCTTCCTGGGAAACCTGTCCAAGAAACCTCTTTTGGGTCTCCATGGCCAGCAGCATCTCAGAGGCTTTAAGAAGGTCCCTTCTTGGTGACAGGGAGAGAAGGAGGGGACTCTGCTGCAGCAAAGACAGAGGCTGAAGAGGCCCCTGACCACACAAACAGTGGCTGTAGGCACAGGGTCCTGGACAGCCCTGCTCCAGGACAGCATCTTTGAGAACACGGTTTCCCTCTTGGTGTCTCATATGCTGTCCCCAATGTTAAGGCCTGTGCTGAGAAGTCAAAAAATATTTAAAACCCCCATCTTTTTGAATCTCCTGTGAGCCCAAATCCTGCAAGGACCATGACCCTCCCTTCCAAAATCCTCCTAAGATGTGGCACATGGGATGACCCCTGCACAACATGTTGTGGAGCCTGCTGTGCCCTGCCAGTACCAGTGAACACTGGCATGGTGAGCACAGCTTGCTCCCAAAACCAGGACACATCAGCCTCCTGAATGGGTCAGTTCACCTCAGTGCACCCATGGCTGCTCCCTGCTGCTCCTGGGGAGCTGCTGCACCTGGATGGAGCAGGGCCAGCCTGTCCATCCCCTCTGCAGCCATCCCTATGAGGACCTCTTTCAGGTTCAGAGGGCTTACTTTCCCAAAAGATCTGTCTCTAGGGCCTGTTGTGGGGCTGCTTCCCAAGAGCTGTATCTGCTCTGTATCTGACCAGTATCTGCCCGGCTGCTCTTTGGCAGAGTGTACCATCCCTCTGGCACCACGACAGGCCTTTCCTCTTCATGTGGTGAAGGGATGAAGATGGAGCTGAGACATCTTGCTCCTTCCCACAGCGGGCAGAGCCATCAAGTGCCGTGTGGCCACCTCAGCTTCAGGTCGGGTTTCACCCTCTCTGCCTTTTGCTCCTCATTGCCGGCTGCTCCCAAGGCCTCACCACATTTCCCTCTGCCTTTGTGGCAGTAGGATGGATAGCTGCACCTTGTGCATGGTGTGGCAGCCTGGCACTGCCAAGAGACAGGTGGCACTTCCAGAGCCAGCGAGAGGGGCATGGGGATGCCACACTGAGGACGTCACGGGCCCCTTGGTGTCCTTGTGCCCCCCAAGTTTTGTGGCCTGACCGCCCCATGGCCGCCGGCCCCAGCAGCGGGGTGGCTCACACTCGCCGCCCCCGCCCGTCTCCACCAGCACCGTCTTTAATAAGAAGTGTGGAATATTTTAGCACCTATGTAAAAGCCACCACAGACGGTGGTGGCAGCCGTTGCCAGGGAGACGCTCCCAAAAATAGCCCCACTCCGCCAACCTTTCCCAGCGCCGCTGGGGGGACTGAGGGATGGAGGGATGGAGGGATGGAAGGGTGGGACGAGGGATGGATAAAGGGATGGATGAAAGGAGGGAAAGAGTCATAGAGATGGACAGAGGAATCTTTGGAGGGATGAATGGAGAGGAGGAGTGAAGGGTGGTTGAAAAGATGGAGGGAAGAATGGAGAGAGAGAGAGAGAAGGAGAGAGGGATGGCTGGAGATGGATGGAGAGCTGGGTGCAGCGGAAAGCAAGAGCTCCTGGGAAGGGGAGCAAACGCTGCCTGCCCCTTCTCCTGCCTGGGCATGAAGAGAAGAACTGCCTCTATGCCAGCAGGCCCTACTTGGACACCATTGGTCCTGCACTCCTGTGATACCAGCTAAGCCAGCACAAAGCCTCAAGCCTCTCTGCGCTGAGCAGGTCCGGCTTTGGGAGTTTAAACCAGAGAACAAAGTTTTGGGCTCCTTAGCACCCGCCATGCTCCCTGTGTGATCTTCTAACAACCATCCCATCTCTGTCCCCAGTGTTCCAGAGCTGCCCAGCCAACCTGACCTGCTCATGGGGGCAGAGATGGTGAGACACGGAGGTCACCCATGGTGCTCAACCCCACCATGTTCCCCAGCCCCTCTGGGAATGCAGAATCATTTCCCTCTCTTAGACAAATCCCTGAGGCTGCCCACTCTCCCAGGAGTCTGGATGCAGCCTCAGATACATCCTGCAGTAGAAATGGAAGGAGACACCTGGAGGACCACCAGGAGCAAAACCAGAGAATCCTTCCTGATAGAAGGAAACAAGCATTTTAGTGATAAGGAAATGCCCTTGTCCCTCTTCTCATCCCATAGCCATCACCTGACAGGCAGAGGTGGAGAAGGGCCCTGATGAAGCTGCTGCTGCCTGGCCCAGGGGCTCTGCAGGAGGAGCCTTCCAGACCAGCTGAGGCAGAGAGGGAAACCCCAAAAATAGAACTAAAGGAGGAGGGGTTGGGGGGGGGGGGGGAGGGAGAAAAATAAACCCAACAACCCCAAAATCTCATTTTTAATATCAAATCCCAGCTCACTTGCCTCCTTGTCACCCTGGCGACATTCCTTGTGGTCACCATGGAAACGGGAGGCATGGAGAGAGCATCACCATGCGGGGTGGTGGCAGCACCCGGCATTATTTTGGGAGGCAGGGAGACACCCGGCGCAAGGCGCTTTGCATGGTGGCAGGGCGGGAGGAGGCAAGGTTTATTTTTACTTGGTCCCACTCCATGTGCCAATTTTTCCTTCTCTGAGAGCCTGGGTGTCCCTTGGCCTGCAGCAGCTTTCCTGTGGCACTCATGACCCACACAGGGATGGTGTTCCATGGGGACAGCCCAGCCCTACCACCCTGTTCCAGCTGGGTGAGCTTGATTGGGCTGCTCCCATGAAGTGCCTCTAATGGTCACCTCAGCTGGTGGCTCCTGGTGCCAGAGCAGGAGATAATGCTGGGAGCTGGGCCCATCAATTCTTCTTGGGAAGGTGCAAGATGAGGAGAATAAACCTTTGCCACTCCCCTGCAGGGGCTTCTTCCCTTGGCTGGGACAAGAAGCTGCAAAGAGGTGTGCAGGGACAAGCCAAGGACGAGGACTCTCTGGCATTGCACACCAGGGGATTGGAAGGGGATCTCTTGGAAGAGAGGATCCCTGAATCTGTTCCTTCCCCCCATCCCTGCTCCATGGATGGAGCCCACCTGCAAAAGGGTCTGCAGGGCCACCAGGGCTGGGGCTTGGCTTCCACCAGCACCCACACGGCCTTGTGAAGCCCTGCTGAAATCCCAGGCAGCTCCACTCTGATGTCTGGAAACCCAGTTCAAGCTGTCCCTGCCCTTTGCCAGGCGTCTCCTTTGCTCTAACCCGCCCTTGTCTCACTACAGTAATCTCTGCCTCAGTGCCCTGGCTGGGAACAGGCAGGGCTGTCTCCAGCTTTGTGGGGCTGAGCAGGTGCTTTCCTGGCCTGTGAATCCATCTGGAAAAGCCCTGTGATGCAGGTGCTGGAGCGTCAGAGAGGGAAAACACAACCGCCAACCTAATGGGCAGGGAGGAAATGTATGCAAATATATTCAGAAAGGGAGCGGTGATGCTAATAGGCTTGTTAATCCTCTCGGAAAGCACCAGGAATAATATTTTTACACTTTGGTTGTTAAGGATGTTACTCCAAGCAAGCCCATAAGGACAGAGAGAGATGTGTAGGGGATGGCCACATGTTGTGGCTGGGGACAGGGAGGGCAGCAGCCAGAGCCAGCTTTGGGACAGGAGCAGGCAGGATCACACAATCCAAGAGTAACCAAATCAGACCCACAGCCATGATCACACTCACAGATGCAATTTGCTCAGGGGCAAGGAGACAAATTACAACTTCCATTAGGTTGTACTAGAGCAACCTTAAATTAGTGATTAGATATTGACTATCTAATTGTTGGATCTTGATGCAGAAGTCCCCCTGCTGCTGCCATGAGATCTCCCTGCATAACTGCTGCTCCGAGGACAAGGTTCATCCAAAACAAGCTGGTCACCCAGCTTAATATATTTTCAAATGTATTAAAACTTTTTACAGTCACTGCAGAGCTCCTTTCTGTGAAATCTATAAAACCAGCAGCAACCATGTGCTTCTTTCACTCAACACATTCCCCATGTTATTTGTAACCCTGTTGAAGGAATCCAGGATTAATATTTTCAGTGAAGTTTGTTTCAAACCAGCCCTTGGGAGGATCTTTTCTGTGCTCAGGGATCCACACTGCTCCAGACAGGGCACCTGAAGGAAGGGGTGCCTGGTGGGGCAGACACCAGGGAATGGCTTTCAATGAACAGCTGTGGAAGAGCCTTTATCAATGGCTGGATAATTCCAATATCTCTCCACTTCTTTGGCTGCAAGAGCCAAGGCAGAGAACAGGTGAGAAGGTGCTGCAGGTGGGATGGGGCCGGGAAGGGCAGGGAGCAGAAGGCTGCCGATGGAAGCAGGACAGAGGTTACTGCGCCCGTGGCGAATATCCCTGGAAAGCCTGGCCCTCCTCTGGCCGGAGGGTGTGTCCTCAAGGCCAGAGGATGGGAATCCTGTTCCCTCTGCCTTTTCCCCTTTAACCACACTTCCGTGTGTAACTTGAGACAAGCAGGGGAAGAAAAAAGAGGATGGAAAAAAAAAGAGAAAGGGAAAAATAGCGCAGTTATTCCCGCCTCTGCCTCCTCCTCTCTCTCCTCCCCGGCCAGCCAGGAGCCACGTCACCGTCACCCAGCGCTGCTTCGGGGCTGCTCAGCCTGGAGAGCGCTCCGGGAGACAAACTCCAACTTCAGCCCGAAGCAGAGAGAGGAAGGCCCTGGGCTGGGAGAGCGAGAATCCACCTCAGTGGAAAAGTAAACAAGGGAGACATCCGCCTGGCAGGGGAAAGGCATCTGCAGCCACGGGGCAGGGGAGACTGAACTTTGTGCTACGAGGAGGAAGGGCTCCGTGCTCAGGGAAAAAGGAAATCTTTCATTCAGTCGAGGCTCGGTGGAGAAAAACTTCCCGCCCTCGCCCTCCCTGCCTGCAGAAAGAGCCCCACTCCCTCCACCCCAGAGGAGTCCCCCGGCACCATGAACATCTTCCGCATCCTGGGGGATGTCTCCCACTTGTTGGCCATCATTATTCTCCTGCTGAAGATTGTGAAGTCCAAGTCCTGTGCTGGTGAGTGCTCCCATGTCCCAGGGAAGGAGGGTGGCCCTTCTCGGAGGGCAGTTCGGTGAAGGGTATAACAAAATGGGAGCTGGGAAGGCCAGTGATAGCCCATAGGAACTGGCAGCCCTCCCCCCTGGGTTCTCAGAGGGAAGTCATCCTCTTTCTCTGGGAGGTCTCCCGGCCAGGAGAGGGCTGTGCTGGAAGGATGTGATGTGGCAAGGCGCACAGCCTCAGGCAGGTGCTGGTCTCAGGACAGTGAGGCAAAGAAGAGGGCGGCAAGGCTGGAGTGAGGTGGAAAAGGAGAGCAAGAGGTTGTGGGCAGCACCAACACCAACAACCTGGAGACGAAGCTGCTTTAGGTTGGAGGTTCTGCCAGTGGTGGGCAGGTGCCAGAGGCTGCCCCATCCCAGGGAGAGGAAATCAGGACAGCAGCTTCCTGCAGGAGAGTTTTGCTCATAGTTCGCTTCTCATGAGATTTTGGGGCTGGGCTGCTGGGGCTGTGGCCATTATCACAGGTACAGGAGTGGGTGGGCCCGACTGCATCTCTCTGCCAGCAGTGGCCAAGTTCCATCAGTGCCCCGGGACTGCTCCTGCAGCTCTTCCCTCCTGTGGCAGATGTCCCATCACACAGTCCCCTGCTGAGGTGGGTGGGCAAAGGGGGAAGGGAGGCAAGAGAAAGGCCTTTTGACAACAGCAAGGATTGAACTGGCCGAAGTGGTGAACATGCCCACTGAGCACCAGCTCCTACAGGCAGCACTCAGGGGCATCAGCAGGAGCCTGCCCTGTCGCTTGGGAGACTCTGGCCACTCTGGGGTGGAGCTACCTCAGCACCCACACACCAGCCCTGGCTCACAAAACAACACACTTACACATCAATGCTTCCAAAGGAGGCGTAAGGGGAAGCCACCACCCCACAGACCCTTCCCTTCATCTGCTTTACTTTCCTTTCATCTCCCTGCCACGCAGGAATCTCTGGGAAGAGCCAGATACTTTTTGCCCTCGTCTTCACAACCCGCTACCTGGACCTGTTCACGAATTTCATCTCTGTCTATAACACTGTGATGAAGGTAAGGAGAGGGCAGTAAAGCAGGAGAGGTTCCCCTCAGCTTGCTGTGGTTTCCTGCGGAGGTGAGGGTACACTGTCACTGAGTTTTTCAGTGAGTTTTTCAGCCAGGAAGGGATAAGGATGCTTCCTTTGGTGCCACTGTCCCTCCATTGACCAAAAAACCCCCTTGCCATAGTCAGTGAGTGAGCTGAGCCATATTTAGTACCACTAAGACCAGAACAAGATGCCATGAACCCAGCCTGGGTGTCCTTGTACAGCAGGAGCATTAACATAAAGCTGCCACCAAGCCAATCTCTTCAAAGAGTGCCCCAGAGGGACTCAAACGTGAGATTCCCATGGTGCAGCAAGCTTTACCTGGCCACTGAAATATCTCCAGCAGAAGTCAATCTGTAAGGCAACACAGCCAAAGCATTCACCACTGTCTTGATGTCTGGGAAAGCCAGCCTCTCTTTAAGCACAGAAAGTGCAATTGCAGGTAAGGTCTTGCCATCTCCCTTCTCTCCCACAGGTCATTTTTTTGATTTGTGCCTATGTCACCGTGTATATGATCTACGTGAAATTCCGGAAAACATTTGACAGCGAGAACGACTCCTTCCGCCTCGAGTTCCTGCTGGTCCCTGTCACAGGCCTGTCATTTCTGGAGAACCACAGCTTCACCCCCTTGGAGGTAAGGAAAAGCTGAGGCAGGAAAAGGGAAGGGAAGCAGCAGCAGCCTTACACCAGGCAGCAGAGTGAGCAGCATGTTGAATAGCCAAGATTTTTAACAGCAAAAGCAGGCAGGAAAGGCAAAGTTGGCAGGCCTTGAAGACAGTACCATCTATAGAGGAGCTCAGCGCTGTCTCCTCTCACTCCCAACACAGCGAGCTCATTTTCCCCAACTTCAGCAGCACTACTCATCCCCCTCACACATCAGTGATTTGCCAAATGAAAAGCTTCAGGTCTTAACACATACTAACCAGCACTGACTCCCCACTGCCTTCATTTTGCACCTCACAGATACTCTGGACCTTCTCCATCTACCTGGAGTCTGTGGCTATCCTTCCTCAACTCTTCATGATCAGCAAGACAGGGGAAGCAGAGACCATCACGACACACTACCTTTTCTTCCTGGGCCTCTACCGTGCCCTCTACATTGCCAACTGGGTCTGGCGCTACCACACAGAGAATTTCTACGACCAGATCGCTGTTGTCTCCGGGGTGGTACAAACCATCTTCTACTGTGACTTCTTCTATCTCTACGTCACCAAAGGTAGGTTGCTGTAATACTGAAAAGTTCATTCATTCTTGCAGTACAGAGTGGAGCTGCAGCTTGCCATGTGTTAATCCTTACAGGACTTTATTTTTTGCTGGGTTTGTGGTGCATATTGTGCCCCTGAAGTCCAGTTTAGAAAACATATCTATTGACAGAGAGTGGGCACCACTGCTCGCAAGGCTCTGGATGTGTGTGTGTGAAACACAGCAAGAATTAAACCAGAGTTAAGCCTGGTTTAACCTCCCCTCGGAAGTTAACAACTGAAGTACATTCAATTCTACATATATTTTGAAAGATTATGAATCACACAAAAAAAAAAACAACCAAAAAAAAAAAAAAAAAAAACAAAAACCAAAAAAAACTTTGAAGGGGAAAAAATAGCTGCAGGCAGACAATGTACCTGAGAAAGCAACTGCAGACATATGGAGATATTGTTAAACCTTCTTTTCCTTTAATAGAGAAGATCAAGTTCTTGATTGTGAAGAACTGATTCTGTAGGAAGATGGGCACCTGCACAGACAAGACATTCCTCTTCCAAAATCAGATGCCCCTTCCATTTCAGTGCCATGCTTTGGTAAATGGCCACCAGAGCTTAAAAGTGCACCAAGGGCATAAATCCCAATAGAATATGCTGCAGTTTGCGAGGCTGAAGGACACTTCAAAACATCTTTCTGTTGAGAAGGATGGAATTAGATTAAATTAGCCACGGGGATAACTGTTTTCCTCCTTCTTCACTTTCCCCAACATGTCTGCCAAAAGCAGTAATGGCGGCCCTTGTTTGAAGTTTCAAGGGATGGATATTTGGTAGCTTCATGCAATACACCTGCTGATAGAAAGGTGACAGGAGCACTGAGCAGGTGGCTGGCCTTGGCAGATTAAGACTTCCTTCTGTCATTAAATATTTTTGTAGCCAGAAAAATACCTTCTAAAACTGCCATCAAGGTGCTCCACGTCAATTCCATTTTTTTTTTCTTTTCTAAACGAATTCCCATTTTAGCTCTGCACAATTCATGTGTCCTGTATTTTGTGAGAAATCCATACCCTTTGTAGCTGTGATGGTGGAACAAAAGGGGGAAAAAACACAACTGCTGGCTTCCAATCTCACACTGCTAGTGGCAGAGCTGCAAAATTTAGGTGATACAGGAGGCAGAAGAAAAAACATTTGTAAATGGGACATCACAGCAGGAAAAGAATTGCTTTTTTTCTCGTTTCTTTTACACAAATGATCATGGGAGAGAAACGGTGTCTGAAGACATGCAAATACTTTGCAATCATTTATGAGAGCCAGCAATATTTTAGTAGGTTGCACCTCTTACATTCTTTCAAAAAAACGAAACTTTTCAAAACATTTCTAACACTGAAGAGCTCAGAAAAAAGGGCAGCAATGATGAAAAAAGAAAGCAAAAATGTGTTATATAAAGCAATGGATTTAGTAAGACTTCTGAGCCTATACCAAAGCACTGCAAAGGGATTTTTATAGAAAGCTACTTCTTTTTATCTTGTTTTCAAAACTAGATGAGCTCCCTTCTGTTTAACACAAGGACATGAAAGATATCCTGAGGAGGCTTTCAGCTCCCCAAAGAGCTTGTATTTCACAGAATGGCCAGGGGTGTGGGCAGTCAGGGTGGAGGGGGGAAAATCACCTAATCCATGCTCCTGCTCACATTTTTCAGGGTCTTGTCCAGTAAGAGTTTGACTATCTCCAGGGTGAAGCCTCTCTGGGCAATCTGTGCCACTGGCTGGCTACCCTCACTATAAAATACTATTTTCAGATGTTTAAGTGGAATTTCCCGTTGTCCATTGCTCTGTCACTAGGCACTGCTCAGGGTCTGGGCCTGTCTCCATTCCCCCATCCAACACTTGTGCACATGGGTAAGGTGCCCCTCAGCCTTCTCAACGCTGAACAGCCTCAGCTCACAGCCTGTGCTCCTACATCAAGATGCTCTTGGGGCCCTTCTTGACTCCCCATCTCTTGTTCTGAGCCCAGAGCTGAGCCCACCACTCCAGCTGTAGCCTCCCAAGGCTCAGTGGAGAGGAAGAACTCCCTGCTCACGCTGCTGGCAATGCAGCTCCAGAGGCTCTTTGCTTCACCACGAGGGCACACTGATGGCTTGTGTTCAATTTAGTGTCTACCAGTACACCAAGGCCTTTTCTGGCAAAGCCGCTTTCTAGCTGGGCAGACCCCAGCACAAACTGGTGCCTGGGGTTGTTCCACCCCAGGGCAGGACACGCACTGGCTTTGTTGACCTTCACAAGGCCTCCAGCTCTGCACCCTGGCACAGCTCCTCCAGCCTTGCCCGGTCCATCAGGCCCTCCCTTGAGGTGCATCCTCAGCATATCACAGCCCTGCCGTTTGGCACCCAACAGACACAGCCCCAGTGCCCACCCTGGTACCACCCTGTGCCAGGCATGGCCACTCTGCACCACTGCCCATTGCACACCCAGGACAGTCCCCAATCCAGCCACCCCCTCTAAGCCTAGGGGTCTCTGGCATTTCCCAGAGGCATCCCTGCCATCCCAAGGTTCAGCTCAGGTGGGCTGGGAGGGGCTCAGCAGGGATCTGGCCACAGACATGGATTCAGACCATGCTCTGTGTCAAAGGGAAAGGAAAGCCCTAGGAATAGCAGCACATCATCGAGAAAAATGTTTAAGATGGTCCACCCATGAGAACAAGTAACCATGAAAGTCAAACAAGAACCTTTTCCTTTAACATAAAGGAGGATAAATAGGTTGTGCTTTTCCCTCTTAGCAGCATTTCATAGTGGTTCTGTCCCATTGGCAGTCTGCAAACCCAGCACCCCACTATCTCGCACTCTAAATTGCAAGTCAGAAAACATAAAATTGTGGAAGAAATAGTTGAATTTCATTAAATTTACTCATTACCTTGTCTTTCTCTTTGCAGTCCTAAAAGGAAAGAAGCTAAGTCTTCCCATGCCTGTTTGAAGACATCCCACAGGCAGCGCAAGAAATTCCAAAGATGAAGCTGTTTAAGATCACAGCTTTCCTTCCCTGGCCCTTTTTGACTAATGGATGGCTCAGCAGAGTTTCAACCCAACACCAGGAAGACAGGGCTTGGAATGCTTTTCATCCATCAGACTCTTCCCCTCCATTGTTTTATTTCTTCTCACTTGAATTTGGTGCTAGTGCTGGCCAATACTGGCCAAAACTGAAGTAGTGCAATTTCTTCTCTCCCAGCTCTTCCCAGCATCTACTCTCAAAACACACCTCCACCCTGACCCTGAGGCAGCACAAAGGAAAATGTCACTCCCACTAGTCCTTCAGTAAGTGCCCATGGTAAAGGGAACATGTAACACACTTCATTAAAGTGTGCTAACTTAACTGACCCATTTCACAGGTTGCCATGTCTGACACGGCAGATGCTACAAACTGTTTTACTTTAACTCTGTATGAACTAACACCCTCTTGAAAATTAGTTCTGCCTGACCCTCTCTCTATTCAGGTCCTGTAACATTTAAGAAAAACACATTGCCTTTGAATAACAGGAATCTTCTAATTCCACAAGTATTCAAACATCCTCCCTGCTCACTTATTTTCAGTTTCCTTATGTTTTACAAACAGGGACAATTTCATTTACAGTTCAGGAGGTTGCCAAGAAGTGTTTCCACCTCCTTGAATTTGACTTCTAAGACCTGGGAAGAACAGGGGCAAAGACAGCTTTACATTCCAAAAATAAAGACAAAGTTCACAATTTATTGACAACAGTGTTTTTATTTATACCTACAAAAGAAAACAAGATGGTATCAAAAGGACCATTTACCAACTAAGAATAGTAACATAGCTCTTAGTATCCTGTGCCTCAACACCACAGATCTATGAATCTCTCAATTCAAGTCTTCAGTAATACAACAGGAATGTGTTCAGAGACCAGCAGGTGTGTGAAACAAGATGCTGATCCCACACAAAGCTAGTAACTCTTCCATTGTTCAGAGAAATCCAAACAGTAAATTGCTTCAGGAAGTGGGAGGGGAGGAGACACCCAGCTCAGATTATCTGAAACCCCCACAAACTTTTTACAGATTGAAAACAATGCAAACAACACTAGAGGCTACTGCTTTATCAACAAGGGCCCTCCAGCTGGTACATGGAGCAGAGCAGAGAGCACCAGGTGGGACAGGGGCAGCACATGCCACAGTGCATTCAGCAGTCTGGTTGACACTCTGAACTGAACCGAGACCCTGGACTTCAGCTGACCTCAATGGCAACAAAGCACTGCAAGACTTGGCATTGATGTTTACACATGCACAAGTCACCCCAAAAGTGAAAGCTATAACAGACTATAAGGCAGCTTTGGCAATCCAGAGACCCTTTTTCAATCCAGTCAGTGAGATGTCCTACTTCTACAACCCTCAAATGCATTTCTGCATTCTACTCTCAAAAAAAAAAGCTCTACATTTGCTTGCGAGGGAGGCCAAAGACCTATCAGTCGGTGCCTGGATAAACAAAATATTTCTGGCTTTCACTTAACACTGAACTCCCTGTCCATGCACTGGAACTATAAAATGGAACCAGGGAACTGAGGTTCTGGAAGGAATCTCCCTTCTCCCTGTCAGCAACCTACCTGTGTACTGCACAAAAAAAAAAAAAAAAAAAAAGAAAAAAAAGCGCATCCATCCCCCAAAATTTTACTCTGGGAAGAAATTAAATGTTAAAAGAAATAATTTCTGTATAAGCAAGCTCTTTTTCAGGGCTATAAGAAGTTCCACTCTGCTACAGAAGGAGTGGGCTGCCTTGTTCATCCATATGCAAGAACGCCAACAGAAGAAACCCACAAGCCCCCTGCACTCTCCTAATGCAAAGAGCGTGCCTCAAACCAGGAGATGGATCCATCCTTTTGTCATCTGATCAGACCAAGAGCAGCCAACTCCTGTTATCATCTACTGTCTCTGAACCGTCTGGTATTAGAAATAACAAGTCAACATGCTTTACTAAGGGGGGAAACCCCCCTCACACCCACCTTAGCCTGTAAAATAAACAAGTTTTATTTACGTATGTACTAAAATTTCACTCTTCTCTAACATTGTCTAAAATACTACCTACCTGCAAGAGCTCAGCCCAAAGGGACCAGTGGAGCAGGGAAATGCACTCAAAAGCCAGAGAAAGTGATAGTCAGTGCAAGGTACAAAAGAAACAAAGCTTCAGAATCAAGATGCACTAACCAGCTCACCGCTTACCTCATGAAAAGGAGACCCCAGGCAATCTCCTCCTATGTTCCTCCCCCCGCCCTCCCGCAGCCCACCCTATTCAAACCTCTGAAATTTAAGTGTGGAAAACTCTGTCACATTTTATCGAGCGTAGCGGCACTCAGAACATTCTCCATGGCAAAAGGGAGTTTGTTTGTGAAGGACAGACAAACAAAATGACACTGTTCATCGTTTCAGTTCTGCATAATTTCTAGGCTCGCAAGGAAGACTTCTTTCAATAAACCAAACAGAAATTTGAGAGCCGTAACCAATTTAATGATAATCAGGCTCCATGCATTTGCAATGCTGCAATTTAACAACTGTAGGGAAAGAACTTACTTAGCTGAACATTTCAGCAGTGGTACCCACAGCAACTGTGGGTAGATGGTTTTCAGGTAGTGAATGCAAGACAGGTTTGGTCTCTGACACTAAACCCAAGCTCCCTACTGCAGGCTGTTACAGTAGCAGAAAATGGAGCTTCCAGAGCTACAGAAATTGTCAGTAATATACCCAAGGCTTTATTCTGAACACCACCCAGCTCAGACAAATGAGAAGAGTTTTCCTATGGAAAGTCACCTACAGTAAGACTACAAGCAGTACTAGTGAGCTATTAAAAAAAAAAAGATTAGGAGAAGTGAGCATTTCTCTCTTGCATTTATATTTTAAATGAAGTGCTTTTTGGCTCCCCCAGAGTTTCCGATCTCTCTTTATACTTCCTGAAATTAAGTTAATGTGTTACAGAATAGAAACTTCTTTCCCTCAAAAGCAAATTTTCCCACAAACCTTAGACACCAAGATGATCAGCTGGAACCTATCTGCCTTATACCCTTTTGTTTTAGAAAAAATAAGATTTCCGAATTTCTCAACATGCAAGACAAAAATAATAAAATTTCCAATCAACTATACATATATCTTAAAAAAAAAAAGAAAAAAAAAAGAGGACAGGGTCATTAATGTGGGCTGGGGGCCATTTTTGATAGGCTCAAGGGATTTGGATAGTGAATTCTAAGTCTAACTTGCATGAGAGACATCACAATGGGAAAGAAGAGAAAGAAAAGGTTCCTTTAAATGTAAGAGGTCTACACTGGCCACCAGCAAGTGGTTTCATTTGCGGGAGGGGGGCGGGGGCGGGGGAGGGGGTGGGTACTGGTAGGTGGCAGTCTGTCCCATATAGCCCATCACGTTAGTGGCAGGGGGCTGTGGAAACTGTTGTGACATGAGCGGCTGTGGCTGCTGGCCCGAGCGCCCCACCATCCCTGCATACTGCTGTTGGGTAGTGCTCTGTGAGGTTCTCCCAGCCGTGGCAGCTGTGGTGCTGGCACCATAGCCACTAGCACTGTACTCTGCAGTGCCATAGCCACTCGTGCCATAGGCAGCTGCTCCATAGCTCCCTTGAGTGTAACCATACTGGCTCTGTGCTGCCCCAAAAGCAGAATTTGGGCTCCCGTAGGCACTGCCATAGGTCTTGTTGGCTCCGTTGGCAAAACTTTCACCACGCTCACGGTCTCTGAAGCCACCTGAGTCTCTGCGGCCCTCTTTCACTCCCCGGAGCCTCCTGTCACACTCTTCCTGGTACATCAGGTTAGGGTTGTTTACCGAACTGCTCGTTCGGTAACGAGAACGACCTCCTGGCGATGGATACATTAAGATTTAGTGCCATGAACAAGTCTTAAACAATGATCTCTGGTACACTTAGGCCACCCTTTCTCCCCCTTCTACATCTCCAATTTTGCTCCCAAGGAGCACCTCCTTCTGACTGACTGTAACTTTTCTGCACAGCTGTGTACAGGCCTCCTTATTTTGTTCAAGGTGTAAACATGAAGTACAACAAGGGTTCTTTATGCATGTGCTTGGAGACAAAGAAACAGAAGACATTCAGGACTAATTTGGAAGTATAAGGAAACTTCTTATTCCTTCAGCGAATGGGAAGAAAAAATGTGTCAGCTCCTGAAATTCAGTGTATTCCTTTACTGATTTCAATTTTGGATGTGCACCTTGTTGCCTGTCCTTAGCAGGAGCCGTGAGGAAGTAATTACTTCAAGCAAAATCAGCTCCCTGATGACCTTAAGAGAGAAAAAAATTCTACAGCTAAGGTAAAACAGGGACTGCCTCTCTCTTGGGACAGAAGTACTATTCTACATCAAGTGTTGGGACCTCAAGTACAGAACAGCTTTATTACTAATGTGTTATCTCAGACCTATACTTAGTACTTCCCTACCCTCTTAACATTCCCTCCCTCAAAATGGGGAATGTATCCCCTGTGTAGCCCTTCTCCCTTGTGCCATTACCTCCACCACCACCTCCTCCTCCTCTGTGGTCCACAAGCTGCATCAGCTTTGGATTGATGGCTTGATTGGCTTCTTCCAAGACTTTGATAAGCTCCCTGGCTTGTTTCAGGTTTCCGGGTGTGAAGAAGGTGTAGGCAGTACCTTTGTTGGTACTACGCGCGGTACGGCCAATACGGTGCACGTAATCTTCGGAGCTGTTCGGATAGTCGTAGTTTATCACAAATTTAACATCTTCCACGTCTTGTGAAGTGCCCAGAAGCGAAGCACAGTGAAAGGGTGGGGTTGAGGAAAGGGGAGAAGAAGAGAGGACGTGCCAACGAAAGGTGGGGAGCACGAATGCAGGTGACAGTAATAAGAAAAAAAAATACAAAGTTAGTAATTGCACGGAATAAATACAAGACAGACTCATCCCAAAAGAGTACAAGACTGAAATTTAAGATCATCAGGAACAAAGGTCAGTGTCCTGAAAAAGAATGGCAATTTTAAAGCAGCTTTGCCCTGCACTCAAAGTCATCCTCCCCGGAATGCATTTCTCTGTCTTCTTGTGTCAAAGACACTGATGCTTGTGAATAAGTTAACTGAATTTCATATTTCTTTTTAACACAATCTGTAAAGTGAAAATGTCACCATCAGACAGAGCAAACTGGGGTGGAGGAAGAGCAGAACTGCCACCGTAAAGCTTTTACTCTGTTGGGAGAAGTCTAACAAAAAATAACAGTAATGAGATCACTTACCTTCCACTCGGAAACATGAAATAAAAGACAGTCTTAAAAATATTTACTTTTACTGTACTAATAAAATACAGTGAACTAACTCCCCTAAACTAAAGCTTTAGGCATTCAAATTATA